GAAAAATGAAGCAATTAACATTGGGATATTTGCTTTCGATTACATTCTTTTAATTTAAATTTCAAATTTCGTCGGTCGAATTCCATTCTTCCCTCCTTTAAAATTTCATAATTAACTAATTATTTCAATTCATCATCATTTGAAAATTCATACTAACCAATACATAGGTTTTTTTTTCAAAATATTTAGAAATATATGAAAGACATACTGCATTGAACTTATACAAAAGTATTAATTAGTGCAAAACCTTTGCTATCCAAACTCACTCCAGTCAGCTGCATGTCATCTGTGAAACAAATAAATAACTATACTAAAAAATGTTGTAATTACTTTAAAATATCGACAAATTTAAATTAAAACTTGCCAGCAAGAGAAATTCAATCCAAAATTTGGAAATACTATGCAATATTGCTATTTGGAGAACAATAATTAATTTTTAATTTTTAAACGTTCATGAAATGATTTTTGGTTATGTTTTGAATAAAACAAATGTTGGATTAAATTTAAACACACTGGAAAAAATCAAAACCAATGTAAAACTAAACGGCATTTCACATATATTTCAATTTATCCATTATTCTGAAAGTTTTGAGTCCTTTAACACATCATTTCTATTTTTCATCTTTCATCTCTGCTATCGTGTTTGCAGTGTTATACAAAAGTTGTTTGCAATGTTGAATTTTAAATTCTTCAATTCTTTTTTTCTATAATACAAAATTTCAAATATTTCATCAAATTGTAATTTTGACATGATCATTTTTAATTATGATTTACATGTAGAAATATTTTTACAGAAAAACAAAAAAATGAAGCAAAATTTTTGACATAATTTACTGATTACTTTCGAAACATTTCAAAAGGTTTTTGAATCATTGCAAAAGGTTTCGCGTGAAGCACTCCTCGGCTTTTCTTTAGAAAACAATTCGGCAAACATATCGTGTGATGTTTTTTTATACTTTAATGAGTACTTTTCTTCATCTAAAATTTTTATTTTTTTTTCTTTCTTCTTTAAAAGAGATCGATTATTATCGTTTCCCATTTTGTTCTCATTGTTGAAGCGGGAAAAAGTGGAATGAATTGTACAATAAATTATAATCTTTAACAACCAACTATTAGTACATACATATCTTCGCATCGTTATTTTTGCCTGTTTAATTCGAGAAAAAAATTTTTTCAATTTCTAAAAAATCAGATTAAATTTTCATTATAATATATTTTCCTGCTAAGTATGCTAGGATTGTAGATTGAACAGCGACAATTTTATACATTTTTGTAAATTCAAATATTCTTGTAAACTTTTCGACACAAAAACAAAGAGGAGATTTGGAAGAGATGAAAAGATGAGATTTCTTGGTAGAAATAAAATTTATGCATTTTTTTCACAGATCATGGTGGAAATGAGCTTCTTTTTTCTAATTTTAAACACTGATAATTATCTCTTCCAATCAATGTTATGTTTGAATCAATATTGTTCAAATGCTTCTTTATTTATCTTTTAAATTTTGAAAATAATTTCCCTTTATAAAATCAGAAATAAAGCTTTTGTCCTGTTAACATGAATCAAATTGCTATAGAACAAGGCTGATATTTTTTTCTCCTAAAAAAGCGTCGAAGAAGGTTGCTGAAAGCATTTAAGCGTGTTCTAACATCCATAAAATATTTATGGCTGTTGATTTCTCGATGCAGAATAGAATATTTCCGGCAATTGATTATTTAAAGGCTATCCCGAAATCTAAATGACGAAAAAGACTGAACAGGAATAAATTTGATAGCTCGGATTATTGATAGGTGATCGTTTCTGGTCTGTAATCATTCGGCCAATTACAAAAGATCATGCCTTTAAACAGCGGAAATGTTCCGGTACGTAATTTTTCTTGCAGAAGAAGTCTTTGAATTTCCTATCATTCTTTAAATATTTCTTCAGATTACGTTTTTACTAACAGATCATATTAGCAAAAAAGCCTTTTCTTATGCCACATATTACTTTATTACTTTCAAGGTATTAAAAACATCAGTTTACCATCCCTTATTATTACGGTTCCTTCAATATTTAAATATTAACTTGTGAGTCAAAGTTTAAAAACTGATTCATCATTATTGTTATTTGTTTTTAAGTCAAAATTCAAACTATAACATATTGATAAAGCATATAAAGTTTTAGAAAAAACCATTTTTTGCATTCCTTTCAATCAATTTTCTTTTCATCTAACCCATTCTTTTTGTTTAATTTTCCATTATTTTTTAAAATATTTCATTTTTTTGACACTAATTTCACTATATTTTTTTCGAAATCATTTATAAAATTAATTCTATGAACAAAGATACAAAATATGTCCAATAAAGTTCATTGTTATTGAGGAGTTCGTTTTTATCTTTTCATGATAAATAACATTTGATCTCCCATAATTCATTCTCATCTCACCTGTTCAACTTGAACTTAAACTTTCCTTCACTTTTACTTTCTTTATTCAATAAAACTTCTTGTTTATTTGTTTATTTAGTGTCATAAATTTTTAATTTATGCAAAGTTACCGTATCTACTCTTTTAAAGCTATAATTTTGCAGTTAACCATAAATACCTCCCGTAGGATTATTTTATTGCTGATATTTTAGATAGTTTTAAAACTACGATATACCAACAGAGATAAAAATGCGTATGCATGTTTGCGTACTCTCATTAACCAATATTATGAGTAAATAAACTAATTATTAACTGAATAACCTATGGGATTTATTATTGATAAAATAGCTACCAGTTTACATCTTTCTTCATTCAGCTCTATCACTTACAGTTCTAACCATTGTTTCATCCCTATAATATATAGAATTATACCTGATATTTTATGTATTTTATAAATTTACATTTGATGTATATTTAATTTAATTTAATTCAATTCACTAATAAATATCCATTTATAAAAGAGGGTGAGGTGAAGAAACAAAAAATAACCTTACTGTTTGGTGCATTCAGGATAGTAAGAAGACGATGTGTGTAATGCATATAATATATGATGATGAAGCTATATAAAAGTAAGATTTATTAATAGAAATGGAAGTACGAAAGCTGGTGAGATATATCGAACGAGGAAAAGTATGGTATTGGTGTGTGTGTGTGTGTGTGTGTGTATGTGTGTGTCACGGTGATGAGAGTTTTCATTAGTGGAATAGGCAAATGCACCAGCAGGAATGATAAATGGAAAATCCATATTCAATATATTATTCACTTTTTTTTTTCAAATTTTTTCCGGAATACGAGAGGAAACTACATGAAAATGAAGAATTTGGAATTAAATGATAGGAAAATTGATGAGTTCCAGTCTGGTACCTTATATTAATATACCTTTTAGAGCTATCTTCTGAATCCTTTCTGCAAATATTTAGGAAAAATATGTTTTTATGAGTTTGTGATTGGTGTAGTCTGGACAATTTTGATCGTAAAATATGCAAATGATGTAAAATAATATTTGGGTGGAGTGGTATTTTGGCTGAAGTGGTATCAATGTAATTTTTCTAGATGAAATTTTTTTCAGATTAAATTTTTATGCGTGAAAATCATTGCTTAACCTTTCATCACTGATTGATGTAAGAGACATCTTCTTAGGGGGATGCTAATATTATTTACTGATCAGCGAGATCTTCTCTACAGCAATTTATCTTTAACATTAGCCTTTTCCTACTATAATAAAACTTCATAAATGAAAAACTTTTTCATATACACTAGCCTAAAAGTAGTTATTTTTATCTTTGATTTTATCAAATTCAAATTTTCATTAAAGATTTTATACTGTTATGGTGTATAGTTTGCAGATTCGCCAGATTTTTCGAATCGCAATTTTTTGAAAGCCATAGCCTAATCTCTATGAAGGCTTTAAAAGTCAGTAGGATATTTTGGGTGTTGTAAAGCATTTCTGATATCATTACTGCATTTAATTATCTTATTGTTACTATTGTACTGTAGCCATCATTACTGTTCGTATAAACGTTCCCGTTCAATGGATAAGTTGAAGAAGGAAACGTGAAATTAGTCATCCTGATTAGTGGAAATGTGGTGGCGTTGTTAGGTATATCAGTATGTATGTGTGATATTGGAAGAGTGCAGAAGATTCCGGTATTCCGATAAGCAAAAAAAAAGGGAAATATGGAGATATTGGAATGACTATCTTTCTATTGTTGAATGGATGGTATCAGTTTTGATTGAGCATCGCTGCAAATCGGAATGTTTATCGCTTGTATCGGTGAGCTTAGAAGGATGAGGAAGGGAAAGTCGTAAATTATTGCGTTTTAGATTAGGGGATTCCCTTTAAGATTATAGTATTTATTACGGGTTTAATGAATGGTTTCGTGCTGTGATAGCAGGCGTGATTGTCACCGTTATTGTCATCAGAGTGGGAATGGAAGGAAAGAAGGATGGAAAAGTTGAAAGAAGTAAGAAAGTTGTAGAGATTGAAGAGGACAGGTAATTGTGCCAAAATTTGACTATTTCCTGGTTCAATGACCGGCAATGTAAAGTGTGGTATCATTGAGGAAAGTTGAAATGTACTTTCTCTCTTTTCACTATCACTTTCCTCTAACTTTCCACAGAAATAGCTATTGATCATTAATCTCCTTAGTGGAGGAGGCGATTTCTTCAGTGATGACTGACGACTTCCAAGCGGACAAACTAAATTGCTTTTCCTCGTAGTACTACGTTAATAAAAACAAAAGATTGAAAAGAAAGTTGACAGGAGTTCTAAGTTAAAATGATCTGCTAAATCTTTACTTGTTATGCTGGCGCGATAATGACGAATACCCATGTTGGAATAAAGAGAGGAAGAAAGAGAAAGGGAAAGAATAAGTTGTAGTGATAAAGAGCAACCATATGAGAGATTGAAGCAGAAATCAGGTTTGTTTCGGTACAGGAAAAAATGGAGCGGTAAATGATAGAGAGACGGGGTAGAAAGAGAAGGAGAAGGAAAAGATGGGGTGAAATGATCGCATCTTTGAAAAGTTGAATTTTTAAGATGAATCAAGCAGAAAACTTCCCCTGTAAAAGGGGATGGCCAAGCCAAGTGAGGTTCAGCCGTCCATCCGTGAACTGCTTAGGAAGTCAAGCACGTATCAGCTTATCGGAGATGAGGAGAAGGAAGAGTTCATCATCCCAGTTCGGCGAGCTCAGCTCTGAAAATTTACGACATTGTTTTATGGGTTCGGGAGCCAGTTGGCGGCATACATCAAAGATGCTCGCATCCATTGAGGTCCTTCCTCATTGGTTGCTGACAGGGTAAAGGCGGGGCTCCTTTGATCTTGCCGATGGAGAGGGTGAAGGAGGAGTGGAGGAGGGTTAGATCGAGTTGAAGATGCTCGGAGGAACAGAGGGATGGAAAAGAGAAGGAACTGGGGATGGGAAAAGGGAACGGAGGGAGGGGGCTCGTACTACTCTGACCGATCATCACGACGACGAGGACGACAACGACAACGACGAAGGAGACAAGGAGGCGGAGGACAAATGCATTGGCAGGGCTGCCTGCAAGAGTTGCAGCCAGCCCTGCATGCTGCAGTCCGCCCTGCTCTACCATCCCGACAAAGTCAGTAGCACGCCCCATCATCATCATCCTTATTATATTATCATTAGGTGCCTTACAAATGGTACCATTTACTTCACCTTATTGAAATTTATCCCGTTATTTTGCTTTCAAATTACCCCATTACTGCACGTCCTATGATTGTTGTGATGATTTAGGACGACATTTTCGCAGGCAAATGATATGAAACGTGAACGAAGGTGATAATTGAAAGGTAGCGTAAGAAGAATAGATACTTTATAATAATTGATGAACTTAATAAAATAAGAGAGCAAGGATTTATTACTGGCTTTGTAAACTTTTATGCTTTCTAATTTTTCCGTTGCCTTCATAAATATACCGCCTCACTCGTAACCTCACCCTTGCCCTTCCTCTCCCTCTCCTTGTATTGTCCTAACATATAAATTCAATTAATACACATTCGAAGAAACAAAATTTATCCTCATTTTAAAATATTATAAACAATTTAAAAAATTTTTTTCTTTTCCTTAGATTTAACTAAAGTATAAAATTGATTGTTAATGAAAGATAATTGATTGCCGTTGTAAATGTTGACATTTTATATTGCTTAATCCAATTCCCCTAATGTGATGCTAACAGACACTCATTACTGAAATGAAAATGCCATTGCTCGTTTTAATTCACCCATCCTGTATTACGGACTTTATCCTGACCTTGATCAATCAATTTGAGGGAAATGTACATACCGCTCGAAACAAATAGCAATTTTACAGGTTGGATTAATACATTATACGGTAGTTCACATCGATGTATCCCAGTTGGCAAAGTCCCGATGATTCGCCTACCGTACAGCCCTACTGGAGTCAACATGTTAGTCAGGCAGCCAGTGCCGCAGCTACGCATCAAAAAGTTGCGGTTGCAGCGGCAGCTTATGACCCGTTATTGTATCCTGCCCAAAATTATATGAATAACATGAAGAATATGCTTGGAGCTGCTGCGCAATGGGTCGAATCATCAAGCACGTAAGCTATCAAAATCTTACTGCATTGCTTTTGTTTAAATTGTTCAAGTTTTAATGAATTATTTGGTTCAATGTTTTCATTTTTCCATCAATTACTACCGTCATTTTTAGGAAATAATTACCTTAAGCAATGTGTAAGTAGTTCAATTCCATTCGTGAAAATTAGCAAAGTTGAGGATTCTTGAATTAAGTCATGTGTTAGGATCTCGACAATCAGGCTTGTTCGAGACATTTTATCCAGTCATCCCCAATTTTTTCCGTTCTTTCTTTTTTTAGTAGATGTAATTAAATAATATAAATCCAATTTCTTTACTTCCTTATCTGATTTGTTAATCATAAATTAATAGTGGTAACAAAATAAAAATACCACTTGTTAGATAGTACTACTCGAGATAACCCGTAAAAATATTTTTGCGCTATTCGAAGGAATGATTTTTTTGTTTACGGCATAGAAAACTATCGGATCTATAAAAATGAATGAATTTCTGGAACTGATTTTCAATTTCTTTCCTGATCATATATTCATTCCCCTATATGGATTACTAGAAATGGGTCATTTTAAGATTACCTTTCTTTCTAAATCTGAAAAAAACGAAAACCTTTTGTTGACTAATAAGTCACAAGATATTACGAAAATAGTTGGAAAAAATAGAATTAAAAATAAAAATTTGGAAATTTACTACCATAAAATAAGAATCTAAGAACTTTTTCTTGCATCATTTTACGGCTTCATAAAAACTTTTACTCATTCACTGTTGGTTATTGCAAGAATCTTTCACTCACTTTGCTTAGAATGAGAACTTTTTTATTCTCATTTTCATATTTAATTTGTTAGATAAAATATATTATCAATTTATGACAACTTTTTGATAATTCAAATTTTATAATCAGAAGGTTTTGAAATTTCGCGACATTTTTTTTATCATTTCAGCAAAAATAATTTGAACATTTCTTATAGAAAACTTTTCATTTTCACTGAAATGAAATTTCTTATTTTAGAAGTTTAAAAATTGATTCAAAATTTGCGTTTTCTCCAGTTTTCACATTTCTAAAGGAAAAAAAATCATAAAATATATTTCGGTAGACAGTTGTTGCACTGCCATGAACTGGTTTTTTTTAACCCTAAAATTTGAAGTAGTGAAAAATGATTGGTTTCAACTGTCATCCGCTTTTTTTGATGCTTCATTCAAATTAAATCATTATCAATCAGCATATTACTAATTATCAAAGAGAATTTGTTTGTTTTTTTTTAATTCTTTCTTTCCAGTGTTTGAGATTTTGTCATTGGATACAGGCAAGCATTGTTGACATTCGTATGGCGTGACTAATTGAATGATTGCAGTAAAAAACAGTTTAATGCTTATCCAGATAGATAATTTAGCTGCAATTATAACTTTATAATTGTCTGTGTGCAAATGAATAAGGTGAATTGCACAATACTACTGTATTCCACGTGCAGTATATATTTATCGAAATGATTTAGCTAAAATTATAACTTTATAATTGTCATTTCTTTAACTATCTCTCTATAATACTATATCGTTGTAATATTTGTTTGTAAATAGACTATTTAAATTTACTGAGTAGCTTATATGGTTGTACTGTCACTAAATTTGCTGTCATTTCCTTAACTGTCTTTGAAACTATTTGCAACATACCTAATTTGAAAATCAACCATTTTAAAATGTTAAATACAGCTGTAGTTTCTTTATAACACTAATGTAACTTTTCATATATTCTCACATTTATGCCTACCAAAAAAAAAATTTTGAATACTAATTTGAGTTCTTCCTCAAACTACAAAAATGATTATAAATTATGCGACGATACAGATCGTCGGCAAATTTTAAAGATCAATATTCAGCAGATGACAGTTTTGTAATATGTTTATATATAATAATATTTCATGCAAATAAGTTATTTTTAATTTACAAAATAATACAGGTATACTAACAACGAATTTACTATCTTTTTATTAGTTATCTTTCAAACGATTTAATAAGAGTAATAATAATATTCTGCAATTTGAAAATTATCGAAGCATTTGTTTAAATATATTTTGAAAATTCGAATTTTTAAAGTTGTAATATATTATTTCTAAAGGCTACACTGCATAAATTAATTATTAATTATTGAAGATTATTATTGTAACTATTTTTTCCCTTTAAAACAAAAATGCTTGAAGGAATTGTTAAAAACATTTTTATTGACTATGTTTATTTATAGTTTGAGATCACAAAACAGATCAATAAGCACGAAACTTTGGATAGTTTTTTGAATCCGATGATAGGTTAAAAAAAGTGAGCAAAGTTACCTCGGCGGTTTCTGAGTAGGAAACCGAACCTTATTAACGTACAGAATTTACTTTTTATTGCGCATTTACGACCTGCCGAACTGTTCACTCTCTCTGCTATCGCTCCCCTCTTTTTCCTTCTTTGCAGTTTTTTTCAATAAATTTTATAGCCATCCAATGTTAATTTAAAGGTTATAACATTTTTAAAACGATTCGAATTTATCAATCGCTCGTAGATCATTTTAATTAATTGATTATTTTCTTTTATCATGTTTTATGGTTTTATGGTATCCTTCTTCAACATTTACAGTATGCACTGTCATGGTATGCCCGAAGAGATACTTCCCCAATAATTATTATAATTCACACTTATCTATCTTCTTTGTATACTTCCTTATTTTTAAAATTATTGTAAACAGTAACATTTAAATCATTTTTGATGATCTTCAGAATTTAATGATGAATAAGATAAACAATAATGAAAAATCGGTTAATCAATGATCATCTTCAGTAATCACTGCAACTTTATTTAGCAAAGTGAAAATTTAATTCACTTATTCTAGGAGAAGTTATCGTGAGGTCATCTTTGTTTAGTGACCATCACATTCCATCCCATTCATTCACCATTATTATCACTGATTATTCATCGTTAATAGACTATGCATGTGCAGTATATCTGACATCGTCCCATCTTTATATTGCATATATAATTCACATTTTATTGCTCGATTTACGACTCGTTTACGATGATGGCCTAATGTACCCCCTTCCCCTCCCTTTTTTACCCATCTTCATCCTTTCCCTCCGTCCACATCACCTCCCCTCATTTACTCGTCCCTCTCAATTTCGTTTTGATACACACACACCGATCGTACACTTGACCAGTTACCGGACATAAACCGATGACAGAGGAAAATACAACATGAACGGAAGGATTTTAAAAAAAGGGAAGAATGGAAAGAGTAGGAAACCGAGAAGGTCACATTGTTTGTTAATCGTAATTTTTGACGTGAAAAGAAAGCGTTACTGTCGCTGTTATTGTTATTGTCATCATCTAGCTGCCATCGCGTCATTGTTGTCACCACAATCATTATCATCGTAATTTATCGTTATCGTTATCGATGCCATTATTACTGTCATTGTCATTTGTCTCACAGTTTATGGATACCCTCCCATCAATTTAGGACTCATTTCCATTTAATTCAACAGCCAGCGTAACGTTTCATAATCAAATCTAAAAATCCCTTCTTACTTTACTGCAGAAATTGTGCTAATACTTCCATTTATGTTTGATTATCAAATATACCAATCGTTCTATTAATAAGAGCGTTATTTTGTTGGACTATGGTTAGATAAAACACAGAATTATATTCTGGCCAACTGTTGTTGATAAAAGTTTTTTGAATTCGTTGTTTTTCGGGAAAAAACAATTCATGGCACTTGAAAGGATTTCATAGGCAGACAGCGATACTTAAACATTCGACCTTTTGCTATTCAGAAAAGTGACTAAAGAAGAAGCAGCAGTTTTGGTCATTAATCTTTCCCTTGAGAAAAGCTTTTTCTTCTAATTGGTATGTTTGGATCAAATCGTCACAGCGAAGCTGGCATATCGCTTTTTGTCATTTTAAGCGTCCTTTTGGAATATTTTTGATATAATCAGGTGAGAATGGCGTTAAAAATATTGTTGTAATTCAAATTTCTTTAAAGATTTCACTATTTCAAATTGATTATTTACAGATTTCCAAATTATAATGCTTTACAACCGGCGTCGACGTCGCATTTGCCGGTGATAAGTAGTGAACGAGCGGTGCAAATAAACCAGCCGGTGTTTCCATGGATGAAAATGAGTGGTTAGTTTAAAATTTATAAGATGTTGAAAAAAATTATTTAAATTAAAAATAAATATAAGAAAAAAAAAATTTATTCTGCGAGTGTATTAATTCATTTTTTCAGTTTAAATTTCCTATTTTAAGATTTAATTGCGAGTATAATTTTCTCTTTCTAAAGCATTAACCTTTCATCCTAAGATTTCGTGGGGAATAAGAATTTGCTTCATAAAGTATTATAATTTTCGTCTGATAGCAATTATCAAAGATGATACTGTAGTAAGTGATATGCGAGAGAGATCATTTCATTTCGTCTGATGTTTCTTTCTGTATCCATTTCCATCATTATCACTATTATCATGATTTTTGTATGCTTAAACATAATAATATCCAATCAAACCTTTTAAATTGAATCATTGGATGATAAGTAACACTTGAAGTGGGATTTATAGAAATGATAATTAAAAAATATTTCACAACTAAATTTTAATATCAATAAATGATAAAAATTGGATGAAAGAGTAAAAAAGGAGGATATAATATAGTAAGAATGATTTAAATGAGTATAAATTAGTTGTACTAAAGTTTGTAATATAAATCAGAAAATATTTTGTGTTACAAGCGAGGAAAATATATTATAAACAATAGTTTTGCTTGTAATAATTGAAAAATTTACATATAATTCGTCGATTTCTCCAGGAGAAAAAAAAACATATAGCTCAATTTTTGCTGTAATCGGAAATGAGTTTTTTTTTGAATGATTGAATGAACATAACAGAAAGGAATGACAATTTGAAATGAATAATGAATGCATGTTAAAGCTATAATTTGGTTGATTGATAAGAACAATTTCTTCATTTTGGTTTCAAATGCGTATTAGGCTACTACTAAATATTCTCTGTCATCCTTCCCTGACAACGAATATTACAATTATGTGCAGATTACTATTACTATTATTTATTACTATTATTACTATTATTATTTCTATTGATTTATTCATTTATTTATCATCATTATTGTCGTTGTTGTTATTATTATTATTGTTTTTGCTGTTGTTTTTATCATAAAAGTACGTTTGTAATTTAATTCGAAGCACCTCTAAACGGTAGGGATATAAATTAAATAGTGTAAGAATTTTCCGATTGTTGTTTTCCTAGCAATTGAAACATTTTAATATTATTTAAGTTGGAATTGAAGAATTGAAGTAGAGTGGAAGAAGATAGAAGAAAAAAGGGAAAGTGCAAATGGCAGGAAAAAATAGAAGGATTACTGTTTTTTTTTTCTTTTTTTTTACATCGTGCTGTTTAGGATTCATCGTTGTAGTGAAATAAAATTTTGGAATGAACTGTGTGTTCACAGGTAGATTTATTTTGTAATTGAGTGCGACATTTCTTTCTATTTAATATGTTCACTCTATAACATGATTATTTAATTACGCCCTTAATGAAGAACACGTGTGTAGAGAGGAGAGAAGATGAATAACTTTAAATTTTGAGAACTTTTTTTTAAAACTAAAATTCCGCTCGGTTCCAAAAATAAATAGCTGATATTTGTGGGTGTGGTGCTTCGGTGTGATATGCAACGCGCTTGTCCTGCTAATAAATTATCGGCAAACATCAAAAAGAAAAAACTTAGATGTTGTGCGTGTGTGCGTGTGTCTGCAAATCCATTGAGTGTGAATTGACGAGATATGTAAGGAAGATGAGCGCAACTGTTCAACAGGCGACATTAAAATCTCTTCCCTTATTCGAGAGAGTTCAAGGTTCGCACCCTATATTCGATATATTAAGGTATATTAAGGTTCAAAACTAGTCACAACAATGTGACTGCTGCACTCACACCTCAAAAAATGATGATTTATTGCTATTTTCAAATATTATGATGTGAGGAAGAACGGAAAAATGATATTGTTTGCTGAAAAAGTGATCTGGAGATGAACAGCTTGTCACATTTACAACATATAGCATTGAATATGAGATGTACAGCAAGTTCAACATCGTGAATGAATTCGCTATTTTGTCAGATCATTCCATTTTTTATCCAATAGCAGACGTCATCAGCTCTACAGTATTTTTTAATTATAATTTCGAGGGACAATTTTGAAGTAAGTGAGTCGCATCTGATGACGATTGAACGAAATATTTCCGTTAGTTCCGAATGATAATTTAATAATTTTAGTTGCATCAAAAACTCGTTAATTAGCTCAAGTTCGCATACAGTAATATTGATCAAAATTTATCCTATAGTAATAAGGGAATGGTTAATGATTTGAGAGGGAACTGTTCAGCATTGCTATAAAATATTTTAAAATTCATTTGAAAAAATTGTTTCCACGAAGCTTATGAAATTTCACAGAAAAAAAATTCAGAGAAAGAGAGAGGGAGACTTTGAGAGAAATAAGTCTTTTATATGGACACAATTTCTTCTACACACATAAAACGGAATTACGACACTGGAAAAATGCTCAAACCGATTTTTTCCTCCTTTTTTCCTCTCTTCTCTCTCTCCCCTTTCTGTCTCTCTTCGTTTCTCTTGTGTCAATGCTTGGTTCTCGCAGTTTACTAATCGATTCGGCACGAAATTTCGAAATTTGTATTTTAAAGCTTTTTATTACTATTGCATTGAGGAAATTTTCGAAATCGGTAAAATTATTATAATGAAGTGATAACTAAAATTACGTCGGTTAAAAAAACTGAGATTTCAACATGAAATGCTTTTTTTAACTTTCTGTTTTTGGAATTTAATTACAGTTTATTCAAATTAAGGATTTCGAAGCTCTATGTGCTAGTGAATTTATTGCAAAAAACAACCATTTTTAGTCACATGAATTTTAACTCAAAATTAGATTTCAAGGCTTCAAATTTATCACGATAGAATCAAATGCATACTTATAAGTTACAATAAAAACTCATAGCATACTGATTAGTGTCCAACAGTTCTATTTCTGTTTGTTTATTCTTCACCTTTCCCAAAAGTTTCAATTGTAATTTGAAGTATATTATTAAAATACAATGACTGCTACTCATATTACTGTCGTTCATTACATAATTGTTTTTGTCACTAATGGAAACATCTGTCTAAAAAATTGTGCCTTGAACAAACTTTCTTCAAGAAGTAGACATCACTTAGCAAGCTAAAATTTTAGAAAAATTTTTCAAACTAGTAAGTGAAATTTTGAATGTTTACAATATGAGGAATTCTTTGAAATGAAATGAATACCGATGCTAAAAAGCGAAAAAAAAGACTGTTGTATATGATTTATTTGAAAGAAAGTTCAAAAAATAGCGCCGATCCCAGAAGACAATTGTTCATCAGTAAGCTGGATTAACTACTTCACAGATGAATGGATGCCCTTGCCCCTGAAAACATTCTTATGGACCTTTTTCCTTTGCTGCTAACATCTTATCAGCAAATAAATTTTAATATTTAAATAATTTTGATAAATAAAAGCGCCGGAAAGATTACCAGCACCAGTAATTATTACAATTAATGTTTCAATCACACAAATAAATTATTATTAATAACAGGATAATTTGCCTTAATCATTGCATTTTCAGGAAAGCAATTAGCATTTGTTTATATGAAAAACGAAAAATTATAATATAGATGTGATAGTACTCATACTGGTGATTAAAATGATATTACATAATTGCAGTCATATTAGTGATTAACATTATATCATTCTGTTTTTTTGTTCGCTTAAAAAAATACTATTTTTGGCATAAATGGAATCATTAAATGAAAAAATGTTCAAAATTTTCTTAATTGGGACCATTTCTAAATATATTCTTTTTTAAAATAATGCCTATTTTGAGAAGTATTTTCATATCAAAGGAAGGCTATAAATAGCTTGTTTTTATTTATATTTTAATATCAGAATTTGTAACATTTCATTATCGTCTCAATATATGACTTAATCGAAACCTCTTTTAAACATATATGTGACACTCATTATCAGGAAAATTTACTGATTTGAAAAAATATATATGAAATAATCGTAAATACTATTAAAATTTACCGATCACATAAATGTTCCCATGTATTTGTTGTAATTTATCATTAATCAAAGTCGTTAATTTAAAGTTTGTATTAACAGAGCAAAGAGGTAGAAGAGGCGACTATAAATTTTATGAAATTTCTTATATTCAACACAAATCCGTGAGAACTACTGCTCAGATAAGTTTTGTTCCCAACCTATAACACTTGTTACCACTTTAATTTACTGCTTACAACTGTTTTATTCGTCCATTAATTTCGAAGAAGTTCCAAATTATATAATATTTCGTATGATATCGTATTGTCATTGCCTACAACCCGGATGCAATCAGGTTATCTTGCATGCATTAACAGTCAATCCAACTATAATTAGCTTCTGTAATTCATGATGATTGTGGATCGTAACTGTTATGTGTTATGAGAAATATTGTATTGGAACGTGATCTCCCATTATTCAGTTATCTCATATTATTTGCGTTTCTTTACTTCTCTCATTCTTTTCCGACATAATCCTTTAAATCGATTCTAAAAATGATTATTGAGGCGAATTAATTTTGCATCTTCTTGATGAAAGCTAATATAAAAAGGTGGTGATGGTAGGCTTGAAAGATGATATCTTTCTTCATTTCAGTTTTTCTCTCCAAGGCTACGGTTATCTCACCCCTTAAAATCCTTATTTTCTATTAATGCAAGAAAATTGTCTCACTCATTTACGTCAGATGGATGAAGGACCGACAGAAATGATATGATGCTGGCAGGGATTGAATCACACGGTGCATCAATTCCATTCGATGGCATACTGTAGGAAAGGGGCAGGTGTGCATTGTTATTGCAATGCTGCGCCGTCCTGCGCATCATTCTTATGGAACTCATTTGGTGTGAGGATCGGGTAGGATGGTTTAGTATGTGATATGAATGGGTCCGCTGGTGCTCGTGAATGTGTAATATTGATCGATAATTAATTGCAAAATTTTCTGATATCTTATGAAATTTGTTGAAAAAAATGAGGGCTATTTGAGGAAAAAAAAGCATGACAAGAGGAGAAGCTAAATGAATTTCATGTTTATCAATTCTTTCTGTCATACGAAAAACAAGTGAGATGAATTGAGGACATATTTTGAAATTACGAATGGAAATTTTAAATTTTATTAGAATTTTTACATGATCAAAAATTTTTTATAATTAACTTTATATGTTGAAGGCTGGGATGCATTTCCAACCGTCACTGGAAGATTTTATAACTCTTGGATTACATCTGTTACAGAAAAAAACACGCGCAACACACGAAACACACGCATGGATAGATAAGTTAAATCAATATTCTGATCATCTTGACATGAATACTTACAAATTAGAAAGGAATGAAAGTGCTGAAAATTTTTTGCAAAAGACTGTTCTTCCCTTGAAAATTTATAATAGTAATAATCATTGTTGTACATCACTAGCATGTCTAATCGTATCTTCACCTTTCCATTTCATGTGACCATTATGATAATAGCATCATGCTATCAGGGAATTTAAAATTACCATTGGAAGTTGCAAAAGCTGAACAAATGAAAATTATCAATTTCCTGTTCCGACATTGTTTTTGTTGTTGTTGTTGTTGCAGATGATGGTATTGACTGATTTTGATGAAGAAAACGATGATAATGATTCTTTCATGTTCCGAAATACATGCATGTGCGGAAGTGTGTGTGTGTGTGTGTGTGTGTGTGTGTGTGTGTGTGTGTGTGTGTGTGTGTGTGTGTGTGTGCATATATTTAACACGTAAATCAAGCGTAACTTCATTCGGAGGTACTATTTTGTTGTTGTTATCTTTCCATTAACTTGATCCTTCATTTTCATGCTTAACAATACTTTGTTACTTGAGAACATCATATTTAATTTTAGGATTCTTTGAAGTTTCACCGCTCTTTCATTATTTTCCATCTATAGCCCTCGAGCAGTACTCGTTTAGTCAACTGACCAAGCAAACTGTCTATAAGTATGACAATATTTCTACGACACCAATCAAACAAAGGGAGCACACGTCCTTCTATCTTCTCTTTTCAATTTATTCACACATCCTCCTTATGTGTTCTTTTTCTTCATCTTAAAAAAACTTCGAAATAAAAAAGTTATAGTATAAAAAGTAGTCTTTCATCTAGTACGGTAAATTACGAAAAACAGTCGAAAGATTGGGAAAAAACAGTGTAGGAAGATTAAAGTCCATAGTGTTTTCGTTTTTCGTAAAATGAATAAATTATGAATATAACTAAAGGTTAAAAATTTAATTATATCATAATATTAAAGATTGAGGCATTAATTTTCGATTTCGACCTCAAATAAAATTGAAGAGTTGTTCATTCTCGTTAATTGTTAATTTGGATAGTAAAAGCTTTTGCAAGTTAGAAATGCTTTTTCTCAATCAATACTTTGTACATTTTGTTCTCTATGGGGAAGGTTTTCTTTCTTACCCTTTTCTTCATTTTTAATTGAATTAAAATGTTGGACATTAATTGAAATTTTTAATAGAGGAAAAATCTATTTTTATATTGTTGAATTTTCCAAAAGTTTTGGAAAAAAATTTGTTCATTGCATGTGAAACAAAAAGGAAATTAGAGAACGATTAAAAAGAGGGCCTAAAAAAAGTTCGTTTTCTTTTTTGCAAAAGCACCATCTCCATTCCATCTCTCAGTGGTTTATCATCCCACTAATATAAATCAACACATATTTTGAAAATTGCTTTGACAGTTTCACCGCTCCACTTCAAAGACGAGAGCCGCTCATTCCTTTCTTTACAAAAATTGAGCTGATGATAGTGGTTAAAAAGCACAAGTTTTCAAAATTTCTTTATGAAAGGCACAAAAAAAGTTTATCCTCACATGTACAGTACGCATTTTTTATATTGGTTACGGTTAGTCTATAAAAATTGCTGTGGTTCGGCGGGTTTTTTTTTTGATATTATGTTAAAAAAATTATATGTTGTGATAAAGTCTCAGAGAAACTGAAAAATACGTTTTTTTGACGTAAAAAATTAGTAAAATTAAAACGAAAAAAATCTTCAATGAAAAAACTTTGTTAATATTAAATGGAAAATAACGAATTGTTAAAGCTAAAAATGTAAGACCGAATCACAAATGATCTGAACCTGACCTTTCCTGCGCCGTTCTTATATTGGATTAGTTTATGTGTGCAATGATCGCATGAATTCTCTTTTATTTATGCTAGTGCATTGTATAAAATAATTCACAAAAGTGAATTCTAAAAATGATCATTGATTTCTGCTCATGTATTTCAGGTGAAGAAACTTTGTTAATATTAAATGGAAGAATAACGAATTATTTCAGGTGGCAAAGGCGGTGAATCAAAAAGGACGCGACAAACATATAGTAGAAATCAAACGTTAGAACTTGAAAAGGAATTTCATTATAATAAATATTTAACGCGAAAAAGGCGACAGGAAATTTCGGAAAGTTTGCAATTATCCGAACGACAGGTTTGTTTCGGCTTTAAAATATTTAAAGTAGACTTTGAATTTTTTAAGTATCATTGGAAAATACTTCAGCGACTGATTCATGTTTGAATATTATTGCTTACAGAAATTTACTATAAGGATTTAATTGAAAAGGAATAAGTATAATATAGAAATGCCCATAACATGAGAAGTAAAGTTAATTGAATTATTGGTGGGGAATAAACGATGACTTGTAGAACTGTATGAAACAATCTTTTTCTTTTTTCAAAAAAGTAGAATCTTTAGTTGTTTCATATATGACTTACATCTTATATTTTATACTTCTTATACTTCCTTTTACCTGTTTTGCCGGTTGCAAAGGAAATTTTGATGATTTTTAAGAAAGAAATATAATTTTATTAAAAATTGTATCATTTTGAAATACCACAATATATCAGAAATATGATTCTTCGTGGATTAGTAATTGTAGTTGTAGTACTACTGTTGTTAATGCTGTAGTCAACAAAGCCTTGATGGATGGTTGTGTTAGCGGATAAGCAATTAAATGTTACTAGCTTGGGGTAATTCCTACACAGATGAAAACTTGTGGATGGATAAATTAATCATGGCTTTTATGTTTCTTAAAAATTTTTAAAATATATTTTGTTTCCTGCAAGTTTTAAATCATGTGACTTTTAAACTATCATTTTTGTTCTCTATTTCTCTCTCCTCTTCGTAAATTGTAATCCTCTTTTATGTTAATCGATTCAGATGTAATCAAATAATCTTTTCATTATTTTCTAAATCTACAAGTTTAAACTAAGAACAATGACGTGATATTATAAATGAGTGCAACATATATGTCATTATTTGTTGCGCACTCAAAAATTTTGTCAGATATTCATATAATAATATTGGCTCCAACAGAATGATATCAAATCAGAATTAGAAATAAATATTTCTATTTTCATTTCAATTTACTAAAACAATTTTTCAGAGTGATGCAATTTCAAAGGAAAATATAAACGTTATCATTAACAAAATATTGCTAAAAATTTTATAGTTTTAAAAACTGAAAACTTTATCTTTGCTTGCAATCTTTCCCAATTTTACATTTTTAAAGTTAGTTTTGAAAATGGAAAAAGTAATAGTTCATCGGAATATCACATTATAACAAAAGCAAAGTTTCGTGACGAAATTCACAAAACAAATAGGTTTTTTTTTGTCCCATGTAATCATCTGGCGGAATTCCATTTCCACTGTAGTGAAGATGAATAGTGTATCCTTCTGCATGGGTTTTCCTAATTTATTGCATCACCTGGGTGGTCCCATTAGAGGAAGAAGGGAAAGGGACGAATACTCCCGAGGACGAAATGAACATTCTTTTCATTTATACTGAAGATGAGCCTCTGTTTTTTTCTTTTTTTTCACCCGTCCCGTTATTCTCCCTAAATAAACTCTCCTTTGTTCTTTGCCGACTTGGTTTCCTTTTTTTTTGGTATCAGTCACAAAATCTTTTGTCTCAAAAAAACGAAAGAACTTTTGATTTGATTTAATAGACGAGTTGGTGATTTGTTTATGGAATAATAATTAGTGGCAAAATAAATGATTGAATATTTGGATTATTTTGGAAAAGTCGCGAAAAAAGTATTCATATAATATATAGGTATTCATATATCATATAACATATAATAACATATAGGTGGAGATATGTGCTTTTCGAATGCTCAATTTGTTCGGAAAGTAAATTAAATGTTGCATTAATTAATAAATTTTAGGTAAAAATATGGTTCCAGAATAGGCGAATGAAGCACAAAAAGGAATGTAAAGGTGAAGTAACAACAGTAAATGAAAGCGATGAAAGTGCCGATGAACAGATACCAACGTGACAGAAGTTAGTGGAAGCACTTTCCGCTTTGTAAGGTACCAAAAAATATAACCATACTGGTACCATCAATACACATCAAATAGGAGAAATGTTATCAATTCAAGTGTGTGAAACCCGTCAATTAGTCTCAATCGTAGCGGAGTATACAATCATCTTCCACCGGTCAATTCAATATGTTTTATAACCTTTGACATCATCCCTTGATTATGTTAACGAGTGCGCCGACAAAGAGATCTCAACAATAATTCTCGTATAATAATTTTTCCTTTCTTATTCATTCATTTGCTTTTTTTAACATACTATCATATGACCCTGTCAATATTGAAAGGAATTCAAAATTTTTGAATGGTTTCAGAAAAAAAACTTAATTTTGAAAGTTATCGCAAAGTTCTTTCTAAACAAATAGGATGAATTTCCAAGTGGAAAACTGATATACCAACGGGATACATGACAGGGAAGCATGTTAGAACTGGGTCCATTGCTGACAATATCTCGCTTGCAATTGTGTAATTAATAATTCCTGCTTTTCTACATTGTCAACCTCTATTTTTGGCCAGATTGCTTAGATATCTTAAAATCTTTTATTTTTTCTTCTTTATAGGTTTCAATTTTTGCACATTAATGGTACATAAGCAAATTTTAAGCTAATAGAATTAGATTTAAAAACTTTGAGTTCCAATTATAATATTTGTATGAAGTAAGAAAATTACCCTATGTCTTTGAAAATCGAAAATTTGTACTATAGATTGAAATTTTGTCAAGCTAGCGGTACGATCCCGAAAAATTCCTGTAAGGCGTGAAATTACCTCGGACCATTCCACGATTTAGAGTTGTTTAAGCGGTCATTTGGCTAAGACTTATGTTTCGCGTACCTTTTGATTAATTAATAAAAGCATAGAATCAGATGACGAATGGAAAAATGACAGAGAATCAGATTAAATTAGAAGAGTAAATATTAATAATTTAAATGAATCATTCTTAACTAATTATCTTCGATGAGATTCTGTTAATAATGTGACCGATTAGTTAAGTTGTTTTCCTGCTAAGTTAACGACTGATAGCTGAAAATTTTGATAACAAATAATCTAAAAAGGAATCAAATCATAAAACTAGTTCGCAAGCAAGCAAGGTAAAATATTTCAACACTTCTAGTAAATAGGTTTAGTTGATTTTTCTTTTAAATAAGTTTTAGGAATTTTTAGTAGTTGTATTATTACTATTATTATTAAAATTATTATTATTATTGTTATTAGCATTACGATTATGATTACTATTATACTATTATTATTATTATTGTCATTATTAATGCGTGATACATGGTATATATCATGAACATGACATTTGATGTTGCGGGCTTTTTCCATTTTATTTAAATTCTTACTTTTCTTTTTGTATTTTTATTTGCATGTATGTTTGTTTTTTGTTTCCACCGTTTTGTTTATTTGTGCTTTTTTTCCCATGAATTCATTATTTTCGTTGTATATTGCAAAATAAAAATATTTCAATAAAGATATATGAAAACATTTGAATGTCCAAAAAACATCAAAAATTCAAAAACTCAAATGTTGCCGGAGTTGTCTAAGTGTTTAATGAAGGTTAAATGTAAATCGATTAAACTGATTAAATATAATTAACGTATTCTGGTATTGTGATAAGATTGGATGTTAGTTTTGGAATTTTGCTTGGTTAGACTAGAATTCCGAAAGTCTGAATGATTGTTAATTCACTACTGCAAAAACAATTAATTGTTTACAACCATGGATCAAAAGTTTAATGATTAGCTGTCTAAATTAGATAAGGTAAAAGATTTAGGTTTTATTGTTCAAGATGGTGGCGATGTTTGCATACCATTACAGTTTTCGGCGAGATTCTGACTAAATCGTTTATTGTACTGATTGTAGAATGATATAGCAATGAATTGAAGAAAGAATAAATTTCATAGTGGATAGATAAGATAGAACAATAAGCTATTGAAAATTTGAAATCAAAAAACTTTATTAGACTATTTTCTTTTTCTTCTCAATTTTTTTCACTAAGGCTACATTGATCGAGTTCATTACTAGAACGTCTTGGCTTTTTGACCTTAGAGATATCTTTCTTATCATATTTATCTTCACTTTTCTTTTTCTCTGCAATAAATTTTGATAATTAATTGTAATAAATTTCAAGTAAAATTCAAATCATAAATTTAAAATAAAATTCAAATCTAATTACTTTTGTCTTTACTCTTCGATTTCCTTTTCCTTGCTCCTTTTTCATATTCTTCTTCCCCACTCTCCTTTTTCGATTTCTCTCCGTCCACAGTAGCAATTTTCTGAAAAACACGAAATTTAAAATGATCAAAATTTTGATTTGAGATGATTAAATTAAAGTTTTAATTTATTTAGTTTGCACTGTTTTTGACTTCTTTTGAAAAAAAAGTGCTTTCGAAATTAGAAAAAAGGACATTTTCATCATAATCGGGTGGTTTATCGCCTTCAAATGCTGGAAAATCATAAGGGCATGGTCGATTTATGAAATCAATATGGTATTCGTGTTTCCAATCAATTTGAGAATTTCTCATATCCTTGGGAGGTTGTCCATATACCATCCTAAAAATAAGGTAGAATTCTTAGGGTTATAACTGAGGGACCTTTCAAAATGTTTTCTGACACAGTAGAATATCATTTCTTGGAAAAAAAATTTTCTGAAAATGAACTGAATTGAAAAATCACAGGATCAGAAATTGAAATAATTTGAAATAATTATGTAATGAAGGTTTTGGTCTTTATTTTTTAATGGATGACAAAAAATCACTTAGTGAAATATCAAATAAGAGTTTATATATTACTACTAAAGCATTACACTTAATTGCAGTTAACAGTTAATTTTTCTTAGTAGAAAATTTTGACCTCGGTACTTCTTCATCTTTCACTAATGGTATAACTAAATTACAGATACATGCATACTTCAGAAACTTTAATTCCTTCAGGTAAGAGGATATGAGAAACAAATCTACCGATAATCTAAGATGAATGAAAAACTTTGATAGCCTGCGTTATGAGACATTTTTGGTATCACTGCAGGGTGTACAATTGCACCATTACTGCTAACTGTTTTGCATATAATGATAATAATCCTCATCAATATCTACCCGATTTTTAAAAACATACTTTCATCACCTTATTAAGTTAAAAAATTAAGCCTAAATTACTTCAAGAAATGTGACCGAGCTCTTTCAAAAATTAAGGTTGCAACTAGTTAATAAATAAATAAAAGTTGCTAGGAAAGCTTAATCAGTTAGGATAAATTTAAAATAGAAAATTATCAGCTAAAATTTAATTCATTCGTTTTTACTTCGTTTTCTTAAATATATGCTCCACAGCGGTATCACCCTTTTGATCATTTTCAGTATCGAGTTGTTTGTATTCATCATCCGGTTGTTCCTGATAATCAAGATATGGAAACAAGTGATCTTCCAATCCTTTTTCCTCATCATGGAATACATTTGACGAGCAACAACCCATTTTGCGCGGGTGATGTAGATTCTCTCTTTTTGGCTTTATCAAATCAGTTGACGAGGTAATTACAAATAAGAGCTAAAAAATTTTAATTCCATTAGATTGTCATTTATGATCCATGGAAACTTAAATATTATAAAGAAAAACTCTCAAAGGGAAGTCTCAAAAGTTAACGGTTTTAAACTCCGGCGATCATAAATTTAGACGCTTCATTACTTCATCAGCTTTCATTCAGTTTTACCAATAGACTACCTTTTGTATATGAACTGAATTTCAATTAAAGTTGGAATCCGATGGAATAAGATGAAATTATCCAGTATTTCATAACCGAGAAAAAGGAAAAATCTTTAAACTTATCCTATTATCCACACAATTTTCAAAGAACTACACTTCTATTAACGTAATAAAATATAGTCGTAGGCCTGACAGCCGCTCTTCAATAACACTTCGAATCAAAAATGAACTTTAACAAAATGCTGTATGTCTTTTATGTATATATATGAAATTACTTCTGACAAAGGGCGAACAAATCAGATCGAGGAAGCCTAAAAACTTGAAGAAGAACCAACGAGAAGCATCTTCCTCATCTTGAAGAGAAAACTTCAAATTGAATACTGCAAAAGTGTTCAAATCCATCAAATTTCAATGCTACTACCAATCAGGAATTTATAAGGAAATAACAAGTTTGCAAGGCATAACCAAATGTTCGCACATTTATTGACCGGAAGAATAACCACTGTAAGTATTATTGGAAATTATTATCAGAAACACGCAACAGAAAAGATAATTACAATATAGAAGTAAATGAATTTATCGCTAATTCTTTGACAAAAAACAAAATTCACTAATTTAAATTTTAATCGACTATTTCTTCATAAATTTATTTTTACGAAAAAAACATATGGTTCAAAAGAATGCAAAGAATGAAACTCTGGAACAAACAGTTCCTTTTAGTCTAATCTATCGGGCTCGAATTTAGGATCAATTTTTTTATAAAAGTCAACTTCAAAGCTCAAAAAACATACACACATATAAATTTTGTGGAAAATTAGAAGTTTCATAACTCCTATTACAGAGAAAAACATCTTGCTGAATTTTCCTTCATGATTTTCCAATTTGGACTATGTTCTTTCGAAGACAGCCAACTGAAATCTTGCACATTACGCCAGTTGTTATTTTGTGGGTTATGCTCAAAGCCAACGACATTATATGGTGCAACTTCTATTCCATCACAATCTTCAATGATCAAGGCTCCGCGCACCTAAAATATTTCATTAAAAAAATAATTTCATCATTTTCCTTATAAAATTAGTTCAGAAAACACTTCAAAATGATCAATATATTACTATTACCCTATTACTGCCCTTAATTTCTTCTTTAATAATCACTAATAAAAAACAACAATTAATACTCATCATGAGGGCAGGCCGAACAGAATAATAAGTGAATTACTAGGAAAAACGATGATACATAGAATTAAATTTCAAAAATTTGAAACAAACCTCTATATAGAACCGAATATGATGGCTATTGTGGATTCTTACTTGCTGTGCAGCAACTACAACTGTTAAATCTTCACAGTCTCTTATTAGAAGAGAAGTTTTAACTGGTGCAAAAATTAGAGTGCTGTGCTTCACGGACTTTATGTGTATAGTCGATGCATTGAACGGAACGCGAATCAAAGAACTAGTGACATCGCTGATCATAACTTCTTCACCATCTTCTCCTTTCGCTATTAGTTCTTTCTCATGCTGTAAAAGAACTTTTTTCCCGATCTTTAAAGATATTGTGCGAGAACCCAATCGATAAATAATACTCAATAGTTTGCTTGTTTGTTTTATTTTTTAAGTAAAACATTTCATTAATAAAAAAATACCTAAAGTAAAACATTTCACACCAGTAAAAATATACCTCCGCAGTTATTGTGACCGCCTTTTGCACCAGTGGTTTGATTTTTGTCTGAATAGGGCCAAGCGGACTATATTTAGAAATTGATATTTTTTGTTTTGATTCGGCAGCACCTTCTTTTTTGGTACTAAATGAAAACGCTGATTGTTGATGTGCTAGTCCAATTTGTTCCTGCATTTGGCTGCGTAGCACATTTAAAGCTTCTTTTAGACGACGTGACTGACGACCAGGTTGAATTAGTGTGAGGGCAGTTTCTAATTCTTGCAAAAATTCAGGCTCAATGTTTAATTCTGAAGAATTCATTACACGTGTAGCTTTTGCTAGTAGTTTATCAAAATCTGCTGCATCAGTTGAAGATGTTTTCATTCCAACTGTATCCCGTGTGTGACGTGCTTCCAATCGTGCTAACATACGTTGACGCTTTTCGCTGACCAAATCAGCAGATTCTAGATTATCAGTACTTATTTTTGACTCCATTAATAAATCGGATTAAAAATTACAGCAAATACTTTCCAGATACAGCTAGAGAAAAGTAAAATACAAAATAAATATACAAATTTATAAGTACAGCTAATGGATCTTAATCAAATTTTCTATGATGTGAACGTCGAGGAATCCAAGGCATAAGCACTTCCGAGAATTTACGTCCGTCCACTGAAAAACATAAAAATTATTTAAATTCAATCAACTTCAAAACTTTAAAATGTAGGTTAGCTAACTCTAATTTGAATGCTTTTCTAATTAGAACTTTCATAAGACAACTCACAATTTGTCAAATGTTGGAAGTCTTCTGGATGAAGCGAGATGTAATGCTCAATAACAGCGTCACGGGTTTTATAGTGATATTCTCGGAGAGAGCCGACCACGTATCCAACGCCCCCCACAAAAGCCAAAAGAATCAGACGAGGAACGAAACCTGAAACGAAATTCAAAAGTCTAACACACGATTTTAATTCGCATTACAAATAATAGTTCTATTCGGAAAGCTGATGAAAGAGAAGTATTTGTATTCCTCTATTTAATAACTGATGATCGAACACTCCCTTTCTTTCACATAAAGATCTGTCATGTAAAAATTTATACAGTTACTCATGCTCGTCATTTTAAATAAACTGACTATAAAAGAATGGTTTCCTCGACCAATCTGTATAATATTTCCAAGATAACAGGCCAATACCAAGACTCAAAAAAGTTACACCCCAGCGACGTGGCCAAGTTGTCGGATCAGCTAATTTAAATGGTCGAGAGTTATCGCGTAAATATGCCTCACGTCGTTGTAACTCTTTCTGATCCACCGTACTGCTTTTTAACATCCCCTTAATTTTATTTTTTATTTGTTCAATTCAAATGAAATGTTATACATTACAGCGTTATCGACGCAAAGTATTTCAAGCGTGGCTTGTAAAACTGCGATAAGCTACAAAATAGCCAAAACGCTACTTTAATATAAAGAAGAGATAACAGCTATGCAAAGCAAGATTTTAAGACTACAAATGATTCATTTTAAATGATGATGAACACTATACACTACGAATAATACGGTTATAATCAAAGTCTAAGGATTTCGAGAGAGCTACAGGAAAGAGAGAGTTACAGAGTTACAAGGAAGAGAGCTTTACTAATACAACCTAAATTATCGTAAAAATCAACGTAAGGAGCGACAATCCTCGGAGAATATAAATGCTAACGATCGAAATGACCCGGATACACGCCTTCTTCTCTCCATTCATCAAATTTCTGTATCCACGATGATGGACAAAGATCCATGAAAGTGTTGTAAAAGAATTTGCACGGTTTGTAGTCTTCACCTAGTAAATTGATGCACCGGTAATAATCCTCATAATAATCAGTGCAGTGGCGTCCCATCTTTATTTGCTGATAGCGAGCATCCATCGGAGCTGTCCAAAGCGGTCCGTCGGGGGCGAAACCGGTTTGTTTCCGATTGTACTTTCGGTCAAACCATCGCGGGTCGTCCGGTGAACGGTTCAGGTAATCATCTTTATCCAGCTTCTCCAATCGTTCACTTAACGTCAAAGGCAGCTCACCGAATTTACTTGATTCCCGCTCCGGTTTGCTCGTTGTCTCCTTTTTCGACTGCTCAGAAGTAGCTGTTTCCGTATTCTTCGACATCTAAATCTGCAAAAATTCTAATCATCCCTTCTAATCGAATTCTGCCGAACTCTCTACCCGAATGCAAAACCCGACCGCCCTCTCCCCAAACCTCAAGCGAGCTCGTCGACCGATAGCGAGCAGTCGCAACACGTCCGTATAAAAAGAAATCAATCGCTTCGAGATGAAATACTTCTTCGCTGCAGCTTTCGAGGTATCACAGAACATCGCGATGAAAGGAGTGTGAGGGAAGAGAGAGTGGATCGTGATTGTAGGTAAAATGAACAGGCTAAAATGAGAGACTGCAAACGGAGCTATATTTGCGAATTACAGTGAATTAGTTGAATGCAGACAATGAAGGAATCTCACTGGGGAGATTCCTTCATTGTCTGCATTCAACTGCATTCACTGAAGAACGACAGGACTGTGAGGGATTGAGGGAGGGTTGGCGGCGTCGCGTAAATCTCGGATGGTTAGAGACTGAGAGTGTTTCAACAGTCGGGATGGAGAGATTGAGTAAAATTATAAAGGTGGAGAAGGAAAATTGGATGAATGAAAAGGGAAAGAGAGAGAGAGGGAATTACGCTGGCGGGAGAAGGGGACATATTTCCGGATGGATTTATATTTGATAGGAGGCATGTGTATCCGATAATTTGCATATGTATTACAGGTTTCATATAAATTATGTCGTCGTTGAAACGGTCGTCGAAGACCGGTCAGCGGATCCATCGTGAACGTACTCAGGTTTGTCACATCAAAACTTGTCACCTTCCTTTCTTAGAGTAGTTGTAAGTGAATGGTATTTCATGATTTTCTTCATTGATAATGGCAATAATATTTGAATTTAATGATTTCAAAATTAATTTTAAGTTTTCTTCATTTAATAATGTGTAAAGAAGGAAAATTTGCAGCCAGAATCGCGGGCACATTTTGGTCTTTTGGAGAAAAAGAAGGATTATATTCAGCGTGCTCGAGATTACAATTACAAGAAGGGAAAGTTGCAAAGACTAAGGCAGAAGGCATTGAATCGAAATCCAGATGAATTCCATTTCCATATGATTCGAAGCCATATTGGAGTAATCTTCTTTCTTCTCATCATCCTCTATGCCGTTTACTTGGTTGTATTGTATACATTTCTTTGCTTTGATGATATTTCTTTTAACAATTGTGAAGTTTTTTCCCTCAATTGTTTACACTGAATTTTTGCAGGAAGATGGAGTACATTATGAGAGTATTCCAGAACCTGATGAGGATACGTTAGTGCAAAAGAAGTTAAAGGATTTACAAAATTTGAAATATGTGAAGCATCGATTGAATGTTGAAAATCAAGTAATTTCAGTCTTTCCATAGTTATAGTCTTGTATTTGAATTATTGAAGCAGTACTAAGAATTTTTTATGTTTGGAATTTATTATTGACTAATGCAGACTAAAATTATAGTTGGTGAAAGAAGAAACAAATATGTGTTTTTTTACCGTAGAAAATATTTTTCATGTGAATATACACTGTGTTTAGAGCAATGTTTCGACATATATTTCCTATAGTTGTTGTTTATGTCCTTTTCAGAAAATTGAAAAACTGAGAGCGACCTTACACTTTGCGGATACTGTAGTTGCAAAAAATACACATACCATTTTCGTGGACACAAAAAAAGAAGGTTCCAATATGTTATTATTTCCTAAAAGTTTTGAAAATTGTTTGCAGCTTTAGGTGCATAGGAATAAGCAGACGTATAACTAGAGTATTCCTAAGAAGCTCTACTCTTTTGTGTATCCCTCTTACGAAAGGTTATCCAAATAACTAATAGTTCGAATACAAGTAAATTAGAATAATGCTTTGTGGACTGACATAATAGACTGTTTTTGAGAGTCATGGCCCCTATTTTATTTTATAGTCGATGGCAACGCTACGAGAAGTGAGTTTCTAGTTCAGAGTCTTGAAAACCAATTAAACATCCTCTATTATACCTTTCAAAGCAATCAAACGTCGTTTTTGATATCATCGGGTTTTATTTGTAGAAGTGATCTATTTTGCTAATCACTCATGAGTTCATTTATTTATTAGTCAAGACTTCATGGGGAATATTTCGTATCAGTTAATTTAAATGACATCTTCTAGCAAAAAGTTTTGATCCGGTGAAGCATTTCAAGACGTTGAAGGAAATCTTGGATCGAAGATATAATCGACCGCGCATTTCTACTCTTCAGACTAGTGGCATTATAAACGCCAAAAGAAAAGATGATGTGAAGGTATGTTCGTAAGGACAGCTTTTTTACTGTATTAGCTACATTATTTTACTATAATATCTGTGTTATTAATCTTATTTTAAGAATATCAATTCATTCCATCCATTCTATGTTAGGACGCCTTTTTTTTCTTTTCAATTTGATATATTATTTAACTGCATTTAATAACATTTTTGAATTAATGAAGGACAAAACGAGCTTGTTATGCACGTCATTCCATATATGTAGTTTTTTAGTATATCTTTGCAACTCAATTTTAATTCTTGTGTTCTTCATTAATTCAAATGTTATTTCCAAATCTGAAATCCAGAAATTGGCATAGCAGATTCAACTATATATTTATCTATTTGCAAACTATGATTGCATAGAATTAAACAAATCATACTGTTGCTTAGTGTGATTTGTTCAGTTCACTTCTAGAACCATGAATCATTAACTTTTTATCAATTTTTTTAGCAAACAGATCACGAGCGGAGAAAAATGTACAGTGAATTATTGAAGAGGATGCAACGTGCCAACGAACTGAAGATTGTTGTTGAGAAATTAGAAGTTAAGAGAAATGTAGTGGAAAGTAAAGGGAAAGAACTGCGGCCCAAAAAGGTAGCATTATCTTGAGTATATCTCGATATTCAGGATTTTTATTGACCAATAAATCATCTTTTATTAATTTCCAAATAATTTTATCTCAGCTGCTCTTTTCGTAATCTTTTTATTCTTTTAATTTTAGTTTATTAGCCAATAATTATTGCATCTTGATGTAGTTTATTTACTTGTACTTTTAGATAGCGAAGGAAGAACTGATGAAAGCACCGGTATATAAATGGATTTATGAAAGAAAAAAATAATTATTTCCGTTGTTTTTTGTTGTTCTCTTTAGAGGTTTCTCAAAGTTACATAACAAACTGAGAACTATATAATAATAAACTAATAAATAGATTTGTGAACAAACGAAAACTAAAAGAAAGGAAAACAAGAAGAGGTTTTTTTTTGACTGAAGAAGAATGACTTTTTTGTTGTTCGATTCGGATGGAATAAATTTTTGGAAATATCTTTTAAATTATATAGTCATCACTTTGCAGTGATAAATTTTTCGTTTTTTTTTTGAGCGTTGAGCACTTTCAGATGATGAGCATTTCATTACTTTTGTAATAAGTATTTTTCTCCAGACCCGAAGTATCGTTTCGTATATTTATAATGATGAAAATCACTCACTGTTTTTTAAAGCGATAATATCGTACATACATGATATGGTATTGAATATCAACATAGTATACACTGGTGAATTGCAGTAGCATTGCGTCACGAATTTTCATTTCTATCTCATTCATTAAAATAGAGTTATGATAATAATGTACTGTTGGATTTTAAGTTTACGCATATACTGTTAGCATTTGAATGCATGGATTATGTAAGTTTTTGTCGTTAAAGGCGGTATCATAAATCTGGCCAAACGGAAGAGTTTGC